TAAATGAAAAAAAAAAAAAAAAAAGGATACGACCGGGAAGCATTTTCGTCACAAATGAAAATTCACCACGAGATTGACGAAAGCATTCGAAGTCTTATCCTTCAAAGATCGGACTTTCTCGATTTTAAATTTTCGCATTTTAATTTACTTGCGCGGTCTCGGTGGACGTACGATGGCACAGGGACTAGTGTTCCGTACCATATAAATTCCCCGGTTGCCTTTCCCGCATTCAAAGATTTTCTTTTGAACATTCTCTGGCCGGCAGAGATGCAGAAGGCAAAGACGATGTTTGACAAACGGTACGCTGCAGCTTAGAAGTAAGTCTAGGACGCGAGCTTCTAACGGTTGGGGCATTCTGAAAAGACCAAGACGTACCATATACCACATTCAAGCAATCGCATTCATCTTGCCGGTATTGGACGATAATAAACTTTCACGTTAATAATGGGTAATTCGTGGAATCGGGCGTCCAATGCTATTTATTCAACATTGTTATTTAAATTCATAGATTTATCGAGAGCTCGAAATCCCTCACGAATTCAAGCGAGGAACGTTCGAGTAATTCCGATTTAGCTTTGTCGTCATTCTTTAAAGAAGGAAGAAAGAAAAGAAAAGTAAAACGAGATTTATTCGAATTATAAGAAGCTGCCTGTGATCAACGTAATATTTCGTAGAAATAAGCCTTCCTCCCTCCGCTTTGCAATTTGCAATTTTTCTGTTTCCAGTTCCGCCAGATATTTTAGACTACATGACAAGCACGGACATGATAGTCAGAGAAGGCAGCAACGTTACATTGCGCTGCGCTGCTAAGGGATCTCCGACTCCGAATATTACCTGGAGGCGGGAAGATGGAGACACCATACTTCTTGGGAATGGCGAGGACGGTAAGAGACATGTAATTAAAAATAAAACTGCGACGTCGTATGATGTTTTCCTGCGATTAAAAAGAAAAAGAGAAGAAGAAAAAAAATCTCACCGTGTCGTTGGAGGAAGGAGAAGAGAAAAAAGTGTGCGAAACAAGTTCCTTGGAATTATTTTTCCAACAGGAAATGATTTATCAGTATGTTCTTTCGTTCCGTTTTTTCCCCCTTCCTGGTAAATGTGCGCGCGGATATAATTAAACGTTGCCCGAAACATTACGGAAGACAAGCGTGACAGTGGTTAAATGAACATTATCCTCGAAGATTGATGGATATCTGCTGGAGGTGCAATTCTTTCCGTTCTGAGATTAGATCTCGCGCCGCCACGCGCGCTCACGTGGAGGAACTTTGAGATGAAAAGTGCATCAAGGAATGTTAGCTTGAAATATCTGATGGATAAACCATATAATAATCGATCGTGCGCTCAAAATTACGTGAAACAAACTGACCTTTGACAAAATTAATAAACGCAATTATTGAATAATAGAAGAATGGTATAGAATGTATAGGTCCCTTTACGAGTACAAAGAAAGAAACGAAAGACTAATGTCGCGTTGACATCGATTGTAAATGTGTCCTCGTCGTCCAACAACTTCGATGTATGTTCATTTAAATTTCCCTAACTCGATTGTTCCTGAAGAAAAAAAACTCGAAAAGGAAACATTCACACGTGTCTGAGAGTCTCGCCTGCAATTTCTTTCTTTTCTCTTTTACGTAGAACACTCGCTTAAAAATGATCGCCGCGTCAAAACTCGATTAGCAATCCTAACTGTTCGTCGGTGTTTACACCCACGTCGGTCGTAAACAGCTACGTTCAAATAAAATTCAAGCAAACAAACGTAACAGACTTTTAAAAATCAACCAGCTGCTGCATCGTTTATTGTTGTTGAGTTAATTGATTCGTTCACGGTAACTTTTAGGTGTAACTAGAACCGCATACAAAAAATTGTCGCGCATGCTGCGAAATTTTTGATGGAAAACTTGATCGAAACGTGACGCGTCCAAAATTAATGATTTCCGAACCCGTGCAACACTTTGATGGATTTTTACGAAATATTACAGAAGGTTAAAGGCATTCTCTGGCATTACTCTCTTAATACTATCGTATAAAATATGAATTTCGAATTAAGCGATTCACACTTGTATTGTGTACTCCGATATGTACTTAATCTCTGATGTTTCTGAAATTTCATTATAATCGATTATATATAATAGATAAGTAACAGAATAATATAATATGACATAAATTACAATATAGAATAATGGAGATATGATTTGACAGCTACAAAACTAACAAATAAATATAATCACCTGATGAATCAAAATTGGAGGAAATGGATTGATCTTAGCCTTCGACATTTCTTCTTTTCTCGATGAATTGCTGGCTTCAACA